TGGGCGTGCCGGAAAAATTTGCGGCGCAGCGGCCCGACGTCCCGCTTCTCAGCCCCGATGAAGATGAATGTCCCGCAGATTGGGCGGCACAGCGCATCGAAGTCCAGATTTTCAGACCCGATGCAGAATGGAAGTCCCAAAACTTAGGCGGACGGGCGGGATCTTGAATGTCTGGGACTGTCTTCAAATGCCCTGGAATATGTGGATATGTTTTAAACATGTGTTCCTGCAAATTTCCGCGACTGCCTTCAAATGTTTTCAAATCGGGATACCACATCGGGACATTTCGGTAAATTTCGGGACACATCGGGATCGGGACACTTCGGGACATTTTGGGCCACATCGGGACATTCCGGGACACACTGGGACACATCGGGACACTTCGGGACATTTGAAATGGTTTGGCATGTCTTGAAATCAATTGACATGTTGTGGTACGTCTTCGAATGTCTCGACGTGTATTAATGTGTGCTGCTATGTATGTATTGAATGTCTTGAGATGTATTGGCCGGTCTTGATCTTGCCCAATAGAAACATGAACACATCAATTGGAAGCCCAACGAAATCCATGGAAAGCCTACCACACGGAAGGAAGTGCACAGAAACCGTGCCAAACCCCAGGAAACTTACGTGATACCAAGAAGGCCAACATAATTACGCGTGCCACCGATTCGGCATGCCCACTGAAGCCATACTCAATGCAATACTACGTTGAATGATTTCTGAAACCAAGACCCGTCCATGTGTTAATATATTTAGACACGCACGTGCAAATCGACAACATGTATACACTAGAACCACGCGGCGCTTCTCGCGCGCTCTGGTTCTAGCATGCTCTAGTTGCAGTAAAAAGTGAGGGCATCGATTGTCGCACAGGTCGTGCCCTACGGCCCTCGAGGAGCGGCAGGCCGCGCGCCTTGAGGGCCCGGGCGCTGCTTCACCTACCCGCTGGGAGTTGCGGCTGGGAGTTGGCGGGCCCGTCGAAGTAGGCCACGAGGTCGGCCCAGAGCTCGGCGGGGTAGGGGTCCTCGGTGCTGCTGGAATCGACGAGTGTGGACGGGCACCCCACGAGCATCGCCACGGCGGAGTCCGCAAATTCCACGCGCAGCCGAGGGCACTGCCTGCAGGTGTGCATCAGATGCTTCGGGTCGATGAAGGGAAATGTGCCCTTCGTCAGTGGAGACGTAGCCGTACGTAGTCTTGCCGCTCAGGGCATCTTTGGAAGCGCTGTCGGCGCTTCAGGAGGATACGACCGAATGGTATGAGCTTGTCGGCGTATAAGCTCTCAATGGTGACAACCACCTGAGCCGACGTGGGCCTGAAGCAGGCGACCCCGACGAGGGTCTCGCTTTGGCTGCCCGCCATGGTGACGCCCTGGCTGGGGCTGGCGAGATACGGGTCAAGAGTTTTGCAACAGTGTCCCAAACCTTTGCTAGACGGGCAGCAGCGGTTCGTCATCCAGAACGGGCTCAAGCCAAAGCGGATAAAAATGCGGGGGAGAATGAGAAGGCGGAGGAGGCCCTGGAAGGGATCTGTGCATCTGCCCGCGACCGGCCACACCTCGCAATCCCCACGCGGCCGAAATCGCCACTTGGATCGCTCCTTCTCCAGGAAGACCCTCAGCTACCCCATCCCCCAGCCCATGACCTGAATCTGAAAGGATTTCGCATGGCGTGCGAGGGGGGTCATCGCCCTCCTTTTCGTCCATGTTCCTCCCACCTCCTCATGTACGTCCTTTTCCTCATCGCTCCTCCTCCTCCTCCTCCTCCTCCTCCTCCTCCTCCTCATCATCATCATCATCATCATCATCATCATCAATCATCATCATCATCATCATCATCATCATCATCATCATCGTCATCATCATCATCATCATCATCAACATCATCATCATCATCCTCACCATCTCTCCCTTCTCTTTTTCCTGACGGGTTATGGCCACGTCTACGGAACCGAACCCTATACACCGACACTATTTCTGGCCTTGCACTGAAATATTTGCAAAAAGGATAACGAATCCTGGTGTATACGGGATCCTGGTGTATACATTTTTCAGTGTTTCCCCGGGGAACGGATAAAAAGTATACACCACACCACCCCGACGCCGTCCCCGACCCTCAACAAATTCTGGGATAAAAAACAGGCCGCCACTGGTGAGGCAGATGTTCCAATTTCCGAAGGGATGTCCACCTCTTCACGCCTCGGCAACGCTGGCGCATTGTGTCGCGGGCTACCGTCGGATCCCGAGGGAACCAGCTCCTGATCGACGGCGCCGGCCCCAAAACCCAATCCTCGCACGAGACACCGCCCCTCTGAGGATGGAACAGGCCTACCCCTGTTCAGTCCGCGAACCTTTCGTGGTCCGCGAGGGGTCTTGCCTACGGACTCGTTCAAGGCCTCGGATGGCGAAATGGCCACAACGCGTCTGGCTCGGAAGACGCGCGGGATCCGGTGAGACGCCTGTCCTTCCTCGATCACTGGGGACTGGGATTTCTCGGTCGCGACCGATCGGCACTCCAAATCGGTCGCGACCGATCGCGGCCGAGGTTTGCCCTCCCGCAGGTGCGGGTGAGCAGAAATCTGATCGATGACCCGCCGCCGTGGGGAGGGAGCCCATCAGCGCGTTGTGATTGGAGGCACAGCAGGTGTTCGGGCACAAATCTATAGTAACATTCAACGGCATACGCACAAGCTTCCAGACATTCGCGCGCACCTCCCACAAGAATCCGCTGACTCAGTCGGCGTGTGTGAGAGGCCCTTCGACGCGAGGCCAGCCTAACCCGAACTGAAGCACGCCAGCCTCCTTTGAATCGTCGTCGTCGTAAGGAAGATCGAACAAACAAGGGGGATCGAACAATGTCGTAGTTACATCGACGGGAACCCTCTTCCCTTTGTCCATTCCCCGTCCGGGTGGGGTCTGGGGGGTACCCGCGGGAAATGGTTTGGGGGTCCTGCAGAGGGAGGGATCCTGCATGGGGGGGACTCCATGGGGGGTCCCGGAGGTCGTGACCCCCACCCTGGGCAGCAGGGGAGCTCGAGACCCCTCCCTCTGCCTCGGCCCCGGCTCCGGTCCTGGCCCAGGGGGCCCTGGCCCGGGCCCTGGCCCCGGGGCCCTGGCCCCCCAGGTCCTGGCCCAGGGCGCCGGCCCCCGCCCCCGCCCCCAGCCCTACGTGGCCCCGGCCCCCCCGGCCCGGGCACCGGTCTCGGCCTCGACCCCATCTTGGGCCCAGCTCTGGCCTTAGCCCCGGCCCGCCCCCGAGGAGACAGACGGCTCCCCTCGTCTCCTCCTCTCCTCCTCGTTCTCCTCCTCCTCCTCCTCCTCGCCTTCCTGCTCCTCCTGCTCCTCCTGCCCCTCCTCCTCCTCCTCCTCCTCCTCCTCCTCCTCCTCCTCCTCCTCCTCCTCCTGCTCTTTCTCCTCGTTCCTCCCCCTCCCCCCCCCTTCCCCCTCCTTCTCCGCCTCTTCCTCTGCCCCCTCCTTCTTCTCGTCCTCTTCCGTCTCCTGCTCTTCCCTCTTTTGCCCGCTCCATGCGCCGAGCCTGTTGCGAGGACACGGGCTCGTCGCTGTCGTTGTCGTTGTCGTCGTGGTCGTCGTCGTCGTCGTCGTCGTCATCCTTCTGGGTCGGCGGCACCAGCCATAAGGCCTTCACAATCGGCTTATGCATTTGCTGTCTTTCGGGGCAACGAAGGGAGAACACGCTGACGGGGGCAACAACGGCGGCGTTATATGGACATGTTTTGTCTGGGGAAACCGCACAAACATGTACACTAAGGTATGCGGGTTTCCGCCCGACATATATGTGTACGCACTCGGCTGAAAGTCTCGCACTTGCGAACCTATCCCCAACAATGGTGGGCAGGACAGACCATTCCATCCAGCTTCCTCCGGGGGGGCTGCAGCTTCGTTGACATGTCCCTGTCCCCCCCGAGATGCGGGGAGGGGGAGCGAATGCGAAGGTGGCCGAGGGAGCCCGTTCGCGCCCCTCTCTGCTCCCCCGCCGATCCCCCCCTCACCTTCGGGCCACGCGCGCATGGGAATATCACTCACATCGACCCGTGTGGCAACTCGTGGGAGCCCCCCCCCCACGTCAGCCTGTTCGCTCTCACGAATCGGCGCTCGACGCTACTCGACGACTATCGACGCAAAAAACGGCACTAGTCGACGATCAATCGGCGCTTTCTCATCGAGTACCAGACATTAGGGCACGCGAATGCATTCCACAGGCGAAATTCTGAGGATATACAAGGCTCCCATGACTTGCTACCGACCCTGGCAGAGCAAGGACAGGACGGGTATAATCTACCGCACGCCCAAGGCGCGCCAGCAATGTCTGCGCTCATGCAAGCGAAAGAACCTGCTCGATCGGCAGGCGCACGCACACCATCAACACCACATACTCTAGAAGAACGTGCGGGCGTAATTGCTTAATTCACTCCATTCCGGCCCCCCCCCGGTTTTCTGAACGTGTATGTCGTTCGCAGGCGTCAGGGTCCCAGGGTAGAACACAGAATCCCAGTGGACACTGCTCCCCGCCTTGGGGATGGAGTGAAACCGTTCGGTTTCTCTCTCACTCCAAACCAAATATTTTGCAGCAGGGAGCCTCGGGTATGAGACGAAGCCCCACTTTGACACCAGCAGCGTTCAGATTTGCTCAAGTTTGTGAGGAGGGGCAAATGGAAGCGCCTGGGGACGGGCCTCATCAAGGATTTAGGAAACTCGAACCGATTCCAACACTAAAAGAACTTTAGCCCACCACTCTCAGTGCACTCAATGCCTGTGTCTCGAGCGAAACACGGTACAAGCATACACTCTCGGAACTCCGCCCTGATTTCTTGGATCGGCGCTGGACCCCACTCCCTGGCGCGCGGTGCGCGCCGGGGGCGGCGCTGGAGGCGCCGCCAGGAAGGCTCAGCACTGATCCAACAAATCCGCGCGGAACTCCGACCACCCGTGCTTATGATGTTTCTTGTTCCTCGAGTGCCCCCCCCTCTTGGGCAGGCACCTCAGGCACATGCGGTCAAGCGAACTCGCCGTCTTGTCCATCGCCAGCAGGCCTCGCGGCGAGCGGAGGAGGTGTCGGCGGGGCGGCGAGGAGAGCGGGCGGAGCGCCGAAATCCTGCGAGGCCAGCGTGGCCTGCATCGAACCGCGAAGTCGGACATCGTATCGTACACGGATCGGATCGCCAACGAATCGAATCTCCACACACCGAGTCGAGATCGGATCGCTGCGCCCGGCTCCGGCTGGGCCCCCACCGGCGCCGGCGAATCGAACCGAACCGAGTGGAATCGGAAGCGCGTTCGGCGGCGAAGCGAATCGCATCGTAGCGGATCGTAGGCGGTCCTGCGAAAGCCAGGCGGCGCCACGTCGGCCCTGCCCTGCCCTTTCCCGCCCGCGAGCGAAGAGATGGGTGCCAGCTTAACAGTGGGCCTTGAGAACGGCAAAACATGCTTGTTACGAGTTCCTTGTTTCCGTTCCATTTTCCGGTTCCGTCGCCGTGTGTTGTTTCCCGTTCCGTTACAAGATTCTGTCGCTGGCTCCCGTTCCGGATCTGAGTCCAACGCCGTTTCTTTTACAACTTGCATCATCAAAGGCCAAAACTCTGGAAAGGTAAATGAACCCGGCGCGACCCGAATTAGGGGAAAGCTTCCTATTGCATGGGCGCAATGCTTGGCATTGCTTGGCATTCCTTGGCGTTGCTTGGCATTGCTTCGGGGAGCCCAAAGTAAACGGGGAACCCGGGAAACCCGAGGAAGCCGAGGAGGCCGAGTAATCCCAGGGGAACGGGCAAAGTAGGGTCCCGAGACGCCAATCTTTCACCAAGTAAGAATCCCAGAGGCAAGCCTAATTCTGGAAAACACGCCATGCCGCTCCCAAGACCCAGTAAGGGCGTCAGCAGGGGGGCCCTCTGTCCGCCAGCGTCTCCTTCGACCTGGTCTTACTTCCCAGAACTCTTGTTGGGTACCCGCCACTGTACGGCAGGCGCTGCGTGGAGCGTCCGCAGGTCACTGGCGAGAGTCCTATTTCTGGACGATGTAGCCGCCTATAGAACATATGTGTACAAATGCACCAGTATATACATATATATATATATGAAACATATGTGTGCGTATCAGAGTGAGGGTGCCAAACGGTAATTTACTGTCCCTCGGCGCGTGGCTGAAGTGAGGTTGTGTGGTGCGGAGTGTTGCTGCTGCTGCTGTTGATGTTGCTGTTGTCGGTGTTGCTGAGGTTGTAGCTGACGTAGCTGATTTTGTGGTTGTTGTTGGTGTTATGGTGGATGTTCTTGTGGTTGTGGTTGTCGATGTTGCTGTTGCTGTTGATGTTGTTGCATTGTTATTCTTAGTGTTGGTGCTGTTGTGGCTGCTGTTGTTGTCGAATACTCATTTGTATATAATCATATTGCTGGTCTCCGGAAACGGGTCCGCGCGCTGCCGACCCGACGCGGGCTACATGTCCCTGAAAACGAGGCTCCCGCGCGAGCATTGGCTTGAGTGTAGACGTGTGCCCTTGGAAACCTGGCTACAACGACCACGGTTCCCGCTCGACGCTTCCTCGCAATTTACCCTGAAACACCGTGGCCAGAGAGGCCCCCGAGCTCAGGGACGGCGCTCTCGCTCGAGACTGCTTCGGATCAAGTTGGCGGAGGCCCAGCCACGACGACAAGGGCTCCTGCTCGATACTTCCTCACGATTTACTCCCACAGACCCTGGCCAGGAAAGTCCCCGAACTCAGGAACGGCGCTCACGCTCACAGTGATTCAATCAAATTGGTGGAGGCACAACTACGACGACATGGGCTCCCGTTCGATCCGTCCTCAAGATGTATTCGCGAAGGCCCTTGCCAGAGAGGCCCCCGAATTCAAGAGTGTCGCTCTCGCTCGAGACACCCTCGTCATTCCGTCAAGAGACACAGGCTGCAGAAGCTCTAAGCGCGCCCACTGAGGCCCTAGCACGCTGCCCACTGAGGCCCTCGGACACTGCCCACAGAGGCCCCCGCGCGCCCACAGAGGTTCAGCACGCTGCCCTCTGAAACCCTCGGACACAGCCTACAGAGGACCCAAGCGCGCCCACAGAGGCCCCGGCCGACAAAGGCCCCAGCGCGCTGCCCGCTGAGGCTCCCGACGCAGCCGACGAAGGCCCCGAGCGCGCCCACAGAGGAAACAGCCAACAGAGGCCCCAAGCGCGCCCACAGAGGCCCCAGCGCGCTGCCCACTGAGACAACAGACACAGCCGACAGAGGCCAAAGCCCACAGAGGCCCCAAGCGCGCCCACTGAGGCCCAAGCGCGCTGCTCACTGAGGCCCACGGACACAGCCCACAGAGGCCGCAAGTGCGCCCACGGAGGCGCCAAGCGCGCCCATGGAGGCCCCCGCGCGCTGCCCCCTGATGCCCCCCAACACAGCCCACAGAGGACACAAGCGTGCCCACATATGCCCCAGCCAACAGAGGCCGCGCCCTCAACAATCAGGAATCACGCTCTCGCTATGGACTTCCTGACGATTGATTTGGGAATCGCGCTATCGCTAGAGACTAACTCGCGATCCATACAGGACGCACGCTTCAGCAACCCGGCTGCTCGACCTGGCCGCCTGGGCCTGCCTTCCCGACCCGCCTTTCGGGTCTACCCGCCCGATCTGCCCGTCTGGTTCTGCAACGTGTTTTTTGTTCCGACCCCCTCTCCTGCCACTTTCTCTCGTGCTCCATCCTCCTCCCCCTTGTCCCTTCCTTCCATCCGTCCCCTCTTCCCCTGCCTTAGGGGCTGCATGAAGTACACGTTGCAGGTGAGAGAGATATACCCCCAAGGGGGTACGATCCAAGACGAAGAGGGCGGGTATCGAGGGTTTGGGATATACGCGTTGACTGGACGGCGAACAAAATAAGAACGAACAATATTACTATTATTGTTGTCGTTGTTGGTGGCATTGTTGTTGTTCCTGTTGTTGTTTGTTGTTGGCGTTGCTGTTGTTGTTATTGTTATTGCTGTTGTTGTTGCTGTTTGTTGTCGTCGTCCCCCCGCGACCTTGCCGGCGACCCTCCCGCGATGTACTTGCGACTTACCTGCGATCCACCCGCGACCCACCCCGCGACCCACCCGCGACCCACCCGCGACTGGGCCCGCGATTGGGCCCCCGACCTGGCCTGCGACCTTCCCCGCGACCCGGCGGCGACCAACCCGCGACCCAGCCGCGAACCACCCGCGACCCATCCCGCGCAACACCACACTGCTTTAACGAGAAATCGGCGCCTGCGGCGGAGTCGTTTTTCAGAGTGAAGGGGCCGAACGGTTATTCTCTGTCCCTGGGCGCGTGGCAGAAGTGAGGTTCTGCGGTGCGGATTGTTGTCGTGGTTGCTGTTGCTGCTGAGTTCCCACTACTGAAGAATACCTATTGCTGGTCCCCCCCAGGGCACGCTGTTTTTCTTAAGTTGAAGCGCCCTTCCATGGACTCGCACCCTGTTTTTTTTTGTCCGGGAGAATCTTGGGTCTCAGAATTGGGCTCCTGGCCCCAGGGTTACAACAGCAACGGCTCCCGCCGTACACTTCCCCACAAGGATTCCCACATCGCGCGCTCGCGCGGGCGTCCTCACAATTCATGCAGAAATCGCACTCTCCCGTGGGACTTTCTCGCAGTTTAGTCAGACGCCGCGCCCTCGACACTTAGGAATCACGCTCTCGCTTTGGCCTATCTCACGAGTTACCTGGGAACCGCGCTATTGCCCGAGACTCGCGATTCATGTAGGACGCACGCTTCGGCAACTCGCCTGTCCGACCTGGCCGCCTGGGCCCGCCTTCCCGATCCGCCTGTTAGGGTCTACCCGCCCGATCTGCCCGTTTGGTTCTGCCACGTACTTTCTGCTCCTAGCCCCTCTCCTGCTACTCTCTCTCTCGTGCTCCATTCTCCTCCCTCCCCCTTGTCCCTTTCTTCCATCCGTCACCTCTTCCCCTGCCGTAGTGGCTGCATGACATACACGTTTCAGGTAAGAGAGATATACCCCAAAGGGGGTACAATCGAAGACGAAGAGGGTGGGTATCGAGGGTTTGGGGTATACGTGTTTAATGGCACGCAGATAAGAGCGAACATACTTAAAAGGTATGTTGTTGTGGTGGTGGTGGTGGTTTGTTGCTGTTGCTGTTGTTGCTGTTGCTGTTGCTGTTGCTGTTGTTGTTGTTGTTGTTGCTGTTGCTGTTGTCATTGTTTGTTGTGTTCGTCCGCTCCGCGACCCGGCCCGCGACTCAACCGCGACCCACTGGCAGCCTACTGGAGACCCACTGGCGACCCACCCCGCGACACGTCCGCGACCCACCCGTGACCCACCCCGCGACCCGCCCGCGACCCACCCGTGACCCACCCGCGACCTGCTCGCGACCCACCCGCGACCCACCCGCGACCCACCCGCGACCCAGCGCGCGACCCACCCCGCGACCCACCCGCGACCCAGCGCGCGACCCACCCACATTGCAATCACGAAAAATCAGCGCCTGCGGCGGCTGCGTTCGTTCGTTGTACGACCCGTAAAAATTAGGCGCCTGCGGCGGGCTTCTTCAGAACCTCGCAGACTGCTGACGTCCCCGCCGTCCCCCCCTCTTTTCCGCAACTGCGGGCGGGCTGCTTCAGAGCCTCGCAGACTGCCGACGCCCCCGCCACCCCCTCACTGTTGTCTGCGACTGTGGAGTGCTACGCATACACACATATTCCCTTATCTATATTTATATATATATATATATATATATGTACAAACAATCCGGGCGGAACGCGAAAGGGATCCCCCCCCCGAAACTGGACTCCTGGGGTCTGGGGCTTTGGGATCCTCTGGACGGGCCTCGAAGCGGCCCCCCGGGCCTCGCAGGGCGTTTTGCCAAGCCTTCCCAGCACACCTATGGCGATCAGGGGGGTCATCGGAGACGTCCCAGAGACCCCCAAGACAAAACAAGAGCGCTCCAGATGGCCCAAGAGGCCTCCAAGACGGTCCCAAAATGGCCTCCAAGAGCACTCCCAAGAAGGCCCCAAGAGGCACAAATCATTGATCTTCTTTTGGTTTTTGGTGAATTTGGGGGTTCTCCTCTTTTCGGCTTCCCGACGCTCCAAGACGGCGGTCTTCTGGGCGTCCGAAGCCGCCTGGGAGGCTCCCAAATCGCCCCACAACCATCCGAAAGGGCTTCCGGGCAGTCCAAGAGAGCCCGAAAACGGCATAACACGGGTCCAAGATGGCCCTCAGAGAGCACCATGGCGGCCCAAGATGGCCCCAAGACACCCTCCGAAGCATTCCAAATCGTGACACGGTCGTTCAGGGAGACCGCGGTTGGATGCAGGGTGGCCCGAGGAAGCCCCCAGAGGCCCTCAAAATAAGCCCAAGAGGCCTCCAGAAGGCCTTAAGAATGCCTGAAACAACTTTTGTGAGCCCCCCAGAGGCTCTCCAAGGAGGAGCCTCCGCAAAAAAGAGCTGCGGAGGATGGGGAGAATGCGCAGGGTATGGCGAATCTGAAGAAAAGGAAACATGGAGGAAGGATAACGAATAACATTGTTATAGCGGCGATGACGGAAAAGGCAACAAGGAATTATCGCTAAATTGTCGGCTTGACCTTCCTGCTATTCCGCCTGCGCACAAAACTTCAAGGACCAAGGTGCACGGCGCGAAGCGCCAATGCAGTCTGGTATGTATATATATAAATATATATACATGTATGTATGTATACACATGTCTACATATATATATATATATATATATACATGTATATATATATTTATGTATAGCACACGAAATAAAAGCACACTCAGTGGATGGTTTGAAATTTCGTGATATGGATATTGAGATCGATGGTGAGAACGATAATGAGACCGATAGTGGGCTCGACAGTAAGGACGATAGTAAGGACGATCGTGAGAGCGATCGTGAAGTCGATTCAGTGAGATCCATAGTCAGATCGATCTTGAGATCGCTCGTGCGATCTATAATGGGATCGATTGTGAGATGGATAGAGGTGTGTAGTAAGATCGATGGTGAGACCGATCGATAAAGAGATCGACCAAGAACCCGGGAACCCGGAAACCCGGTAACCCCGCCGCCCACCGAAATCGGTCCAGAACCAACAACCGGGAACCCGGGAACCCGGAACCGGAACCCGGGAACCCCGCCGCCTACCGAAATCAGCCTGGAACTTTCGCCAAATCTTTCAATCTCCGCTAGAGCCCCTTCAGTGCAAGCACTGATTGGGGACTATATGAGTATACATGCACACATCAAACATGAATCGGGCGCAACCTGGCATGAGCGCTCTGCGTGGCGTTGCGTGGCATTGCTTGGCATTGCATGGCAATTTGCTCGGCATTGCTTGGCATGGCAGTGCAGGGCGTTGCTTGGCATTGCTTTGCGCTGCTTGGCAGTGCGTGGCGAGGCAGCAAGGAACCAAGACCAAGGAACCAGGGAACCCAGCAACCCAAACAAAGACAATGGAACCAAGGAAGCAAGATCAAAGAACCAAGGAGCCAATACAGCGAATACCAAGTAGCCAAGAAAATCAGCCCAAGGAAGCAAGACCCAGGAACCAAGGCACCAGGCCCAATGAATCAAGAAAACAAGACAGAGGAAACAAGACCAAACCACCCAGGAATCTGGGGACGGAAATGAGGAAACATAACAACCCAAGGAATGCCGGCTGGCGCATGCCCCGCACCCACCGTCTCTTCAGCACACATAAGAAGCCCTTCGGCATAGCCTACCTATACGACCATCCCTGGGGTGATAAGGAGGTTCGGGGGGGAGGAACCAACGTCTCACTGAATCGATCTCATTATCGATCTCGTTATCGGTCTCACTATCGAATATCATAGTGGGTGTCGCTATCGCTCTCACTATCATTATTACTATCGATCTCACTACCGATCTCGCAATCGACCGCACAATCGATCTCACTGTCGATCTCACCATAGATCTTAGGGTCGATCCACTGTCGATCTCACCATCGATTTCACTATCGATCTCACTATCGGTCTCACTATTGATCTCACGATCGGACTCACAATCGATCTCACTATCGATATCGTTGTCGATCTCCTTATCTATCTCACTATCGATCGCACTATCTATCTCATGGGACACCACGGGACACCGCGGGTTTCAACGGGACACCAAAAGACACCATCACAAAACACCACGGGACAACATCACGGGACAGAACAGGACACCGCGGGACACCGCGGGACACCACAAGACACCGCGTGACACCATCACAGGACACCACGGGACACCACAGGACACTAGAGGACCCCATCACGGGACACCACAAGACACCGCGGGACACCGCGGGACATCGCGGGACACCACGGGACACCACGGGGCACCATCGGGACACCACGGCGGGACACCACGGGACACCATCGACACACCACCAAGACGCCATCGGGACACCAATCGAGACACCGCGTGACACCACGGGACACCATCGGGACACCACGGCGGGATAACTTCGGCACCCGCCCGCCGCGCGGCCTGGAGGGGGTGGCGGACTTCTGTCCTCGCCACACCCTGGCCAGAAGAGGGTTCATTCCTCTCGCCTCTCGCCCGCCCACGCAGCTTCGCCTTGCCCGCCCGCGCGACACGAACCCGAAACAGAAACCGATTTCCCAATGAGGGGCTCTCCGTTCCACTTTGATCTCACCTCCCCACCTCCGACTGTGGGGCTCCAACATACAATTCCTTGGATTCTGAGCGCTCATATGCGCTGCTTCCGAAACTTCCCGCGTGACTTCTCCCGACGCCTCGACGGCGTGGTTCTGAATCCAAGCCTCAAACGTGGCGCAAGGTGGTCCCAGGAACTCGTGCTGGAGCCGTCTTCTGAATCTCTTGGGCTGGGCCAGTCCACCAGGCTAAAATGTAACAACATACGCTGTGGCATCAACTGGCAAAGATAGCCTTGTTTGCTATAAGAACGTCTAAGACTCAAGACGGCCAAACAGGCCCAACATGTCGCCCAAGGACGGCCCCTGAGACCCGCAGAAAAACACACCAGCGCCTGACACGTGGAAGCCTTCCCTCCGAGGCGGCCCCGCGATCCCCCAGAGACCTCAAGAAGACCCCTGAGCGGTCCCCAGAAGGCCCCAAGAAGTCATCAAGGCCCCCCAATAATAAGTCCTGAGGAGGCCCCCCGGATACGTGCAAGATGATCTCACAAAGCTCCCGAGAGGCCACCCACAAGTTCCGTGTCCACGGTTCAGGCACGGTGGCGGGTGGCGGGTTAGGTCGAAGGCCGCTGGATCAGATCTACTCTGTGTACATACCAGCGCGGGGCAATGCGCGAGGCCCAGATAGGTAGCAACCCAAAACACACAAAGAAGAACTGACCACAAACGTGTTGGCTGCTATTCTCCGCTACTTCTCGCCGTCACGGCATAATCAGACAGCACACCACAATCCGGAGGCGAGCCTGGCGGATAATTCTGAAGAACTCCTGGAAGGGCGCGCAATTACCGCGAAATGTTTGAATGTTTCATCACGGCTGCACCTTCGCCTCCTCCCTTCATCATCCCCCATCCTTCTCGCCTAGCCTTTCTCCCCTCCTTCCTCGTGCTTATCCTCATCCTCCTACCTCTTTTTTCCTCTCAGCACTGCAATACTCATCAACACTGTGTCAACTCACTCCTGCCCTACGCGCGCAGTTGAAATGGGAACTACGCCGCAACATGCACACGCCCTCTTCCCTTGGCACTTCCAATGTTTTCCGCTCGCCATCTTTATTTTGCGGTCCATGCAAGTCGGATCCCGCAAATGCAAGTCGACTTTGAAATCACACGCTAACCCTCCTGGGCGGTTCCCGCTAGGAGCAGGTGGGCAAACAGGGGAGGTGTCAAAGAGGTGGGGTGAACCGATGAGAAGCAAATCAAGCGCAGAACCGCCCTCGAGACATTCTCTTCTGAACAACTCTCATCTGTAAGCGCGCGGGAAGCTTCCATGAAGCTCCCCAACGGATCCGATGCCGGCTGGCTGCGAAGCCTCCATCTGGTTCTGGACGAACGCTGTTCGTGCTCAGAGCGTCTAGTGCTGCAACATCAGATTGGGCGCTGAACATGGATGTACGTCTCATCCGATGAACAGCCAGGCGTGGGATAACCGTGACGGGCTCAGCTGCTCAACTGCGCCGTTGGCCCGATGACGGGAGCCGGCTCGCAAGTGTGAGTGAGCTAGCTCATCGCAAGTCATGCGCCCCTGGGGGGATCAAATCCCACCAGCCCTTTGGGCGTAGGTGGCTTGACGAGTTTTGTTTTTCTCTCCCTCCCCCCCCCGCCTCCCCCCCCCCCCTGGGCCTGGGAAAACGAGGGGGCGGGTAGTTAGAGCGTCCAAGATGGCCCAAGGTGGCTCCAAGAGTTTGAAAGAGGTTGGGAGGCCCAACCAGCAGCTTCGCCCTAGGCGAAGCCCAGCTCCCGCTCTGTTATACCGTACTAGCGATAGTCCCAGTAGTAGGGGGCGAGCCATCTCGAGCAGTTTTGGTATCGAGCGCAAATGGTACACCTCGCGCTGAGGTGTAGTCAAAGCTGGGCGGCCGGCCGCTTTGAGCCAAGCAGCCGCGGATGCACGTTCGTTTCCACTCACATGCAACACCCAGCTCACTTTAGAGTCGGGGGGGGAGGGAGACGAAGCGTAAATCCGCTGACTCTATACAGCAGGTACAGCAGCGACTATTTACAAGACGGCAGCAAAAGGGCGGGGCCGTAAGGAAAGTGGACCCGCACGCAAGTTGCCTTGCCTGCATTATAGTGTGCATACGAGTACTCCTCAGGCGGCTACAGAATGGGACGTCTGGCCAGCCCGATAAGGAGTATGACGTTTTAAGTCATGTTTGAAGGATTGGGTACCTCCCGTGACCTGTCGGAGCATTTCTCTGTCGATGCTCCCCTTGGTGTGACCGTCCGCGGTCACATCGCGGGTGTCACACCACTGAAACCTGTGCACGATTCCTCGCTCCACCATCTGTCGTATCCAACTGATGTGTCCTAAAAGTGTACACTCAGTCGGCTTCTTCAAGTCTTTGCTTGACAAGGCCCAAAAAAACCATACTCAGCATCTATGGTCACAGTGACCTTGATGCTCAGGCCACCAAAGGCAAGTATGTCTTTCAACTGAGTGGGAGTTAACGGCCCTGCGTGGAGCTCGTGCAGAGTCACGATCGTGAGATAACAGTCCTCCAAGTTGTGGGCTCTAGTGTCTCTGTTGAACAGCTCGAGCGGACCTGCAAGCGGTGAGACTTGCAGTGCGCATCGATCAAGTGAACGACTTGCTGACAGGATGGCGTGCTTCCACGCCATAGCAGGTTTGCCCCGCGAACGCCATAGCCTTTGACTTCGTTATCGGCATCTTCACTCAAGCGTCGGTAACCTGAGTCGCTGTGCAGGTCAACCTCGCCCGTGGGGGTCATCGCCTGGTAGACGATCTTCTTCGGGCAGGCACGCAGTTTCCTGGTAATCGCGCTCAGTCGTCGCATTTGTATGCTGGTCGGTTCTTGGACACGTTGTAGAGAGACAACATGCACCATTTACCACACCTGGGTGATTAATGCATACACCAATGCACCTCTAAGGCTGACGAACATGTCTGCAACCATCTTGGATGCTTGGGCGTCGGCGTCGGCGCCTGCAAGTTCAGGATGTTGTACAGGGTGGAGCTGTTTGATGTATTCTTCTTGGTCCAAAGTAACACTGCCGCCCTCATCCTTGGTATATATCACAGCACAATTGGTGCATGTGTGCTTGTTGAGTTTACATTTACCAAAGGTGTCTTCTACGCACTTGACACGCTTGTCAATGGTGTCCTCTGTGCCGGCCATATTGATGTCATCGACATGTTTGTCCGTGAGCAGGTTGCTGCTCGTCTCGAACTCCTCGTCGTAGGGCGTGGGTCTGAGACCGAAGCCTCTTGTGGCCCTTCTGAGCTGTAGCGGGCAAGCTCGAGGTGCGTCCTTGGTGCCAGTGCCTGGCTTGAGGCATTGCGTGCAGTGCTTCGACTCGTCGTAGCGTTCGAACCCTGGGAGAGCTCGAAGCACCGTAGCCGATCCAGGCGGCAGAGTAAAGCGCACCACGCGTTCTTTCTTCACCAATTGTCTCAGCCCTGGTGGGTCAATCCTTTCAGGAGAGCCATGTTGATACCGAGGGAAGCAATGATCCACTGCTTCTTGCGCGCTGCCGTGCTCGCGAATAGTCTGCGGCTTGACCGCCGCGCTGTCCCCGGAAATGCGGCCGCGTCGAAGGCTTCAAGGCCCATGAAGCCTCGAATCACCAAGCGCAATCTGATGACGCGTTCCAGTTCGCCCTTCTCGTTCTTCACAAACTTCCATGTGTAGACATACCTCGGCGTCATGATATTTGACGCTTGAGATATATCTTGACTTTTGAAGCACTTGTCGTCAGACCATGTCTTGAGTTCAATGTATAGGGCTTCCGACACTTTCTCGGGATCCGCCTGGACGTCAGCCGTCGCGAGGAGATCCTCTTCCTTGACGACCACGGCTCGCTTTGCAACGGCGGCGACATATGCTCGCATGGTGGTCGCGCGGTCGGCATATGATATCCTGTGCTGTTGTTCGGACTGGACTACCTTTGGCACTTCTGCTTTAAAGCAGAGTTCTATGTATTGTCTATTTTCGTCTGAGTCCAGTCCGTAATTACAGTCTTCGACCGCGGAGCAAAGTGGGACATGATACGTCTCCTCGATGTCGGAGTCGCGTGGGTGTCCACACTGAGGCAGGTGTCCCCGCTGTTCTTCAGCTACAGATGTACCTTAGGAGATAGTCGGCTTGCACCTGTCATCTGAGGCATCCCCTGCGTGGTCGGGACATAGCAGGTCTCCCCGCAGGTAAACTGGCCACGAACGTCAACGCTGTCCGTAATGCAATGTTGTCGGAGCCGATCTCTCTGGCTATCAAAGCTTCAATGTAGACGGAATGTCGTGCATCGCCGTATTGTACCTGAACGTCGCGGCTTCCCACCCGAATGATGACTTGACCCCTGCCGGGATCGTCTCTTACGACTGGGAATGGGCCATTCCAGCCTCCCCAGTCGTCCTTCGTGGTTGTGAGGCAATGGTAATCAACTAAATCTCCTTCATCGTAGTAACGCTGACCGGTGATAGCTGTCTTAGTGCGCAATGCACGATTGGTCTTGGCTACTGCAGTGGCCAATGTGATTGCTTCAATGCATACCTTGCGTACCATCTGTTCACGAGAATGATCCGACGTTTCCGTCGGCCGTTCGTGATCCAGGATGAGCAAGTCAGGGAGCATTGCCAGTTGCCGTCCAAACAAGGCGCTGCATGGAGACACCTCACTGTAGAAATTGAACGCGCTGGCGGCAAACAAGGCTTCATGCAGTAGTCGTGTGAAAACAAGAAGTATGTCTAACCTGTTGAGTTTAGCTTCCATGACACGAAGTTGACGGCGCAGCATGCCACTTCCGGCTTCGATCGTCGTAGCGTGTTGTCCACGCGCGCGCATCCTCAGTTCAGTGCCCTTTGCCTTAAGGACTGCTTTTGCAGTGTCGTTGCTGAAGGCACCCTCTCCATCGGAGTAGAATGCCTTTGCAGGTCCACACTGCATCCAGCACTGATGGCACGCATCCAGGATACTGGTCATCATCTTATCTGGCATCTCCATTCCAGTAGCATAGCGAATGCAACGACCGATGATATGATATGACATATCTTATGTTCTTTGTAAAACAGAAGGTCACATTCAACTTCTTCGTTGAACTTGCCAGGAATCGCTGTAGATGGCATAACCGTGTGCCCAGGCTTGTCCCAGGACCTGTACTCCCGACATGTGCCGCAGACACCTTCAATCAGGTTGAGACTGACGCTGTCCAGACCTATCTTGGTTAATATGAATAACAGATTAGGCTCTTTCGCATGGAACCAACGCAAGTGTAGCTTTCGCAGCTCGCGTGTTACCACGCTTGGGTCAAATAGTCGTAAGTTTTGAAGACTGAATTGTACGTCGGACCCTGACCAGTCTGGAAGTCGTGGTCGTGCAGCCGGTTTACCCGCAGGTGGCGGTGGAGGTGGATCTCCTCCTTGCTATCGGCCACGTCTGACTTTGACCTGTGGCAGTCGGATGTGGCCATCCGAACTCCCAGCTCCGCTCGACGCAGGTTGCCCTGCAGCAGGTTCAGCAGCGTGTCTGCCTACTGTGATGTCGTGGCTGCTGGCACCCGCTGTGGGTCCGGCTCTAGAGCCGGGTCTTGGTGCTCGTAGCCGCACAAGTGGTGGCGCGGCTTGTGCCTCGGGTGGTGGTGCTGCTGGTTCGGCAGGAGCCGGTGGCATCTGTCGGTGATTGTCGGGCAGCTTCCAAGGTATGGCAAACTTGAACTTGCCTGGTGTCCGTGCATGTCCAGGCTTGTTCTGGCAGTAGATATTCTTACAGCTCGGACATCCCCACTGGCAGGCTTCCTTATCATACCACCTGCA